CATTTTAGGTATCACATTGTATCTGGTGCACCATTTATATTTCTGCGCATATTTTGTTTTATCCATATTAGTGCAATACCACTATATACCAGCGAGGTGTACAAATATAACATTGGGTATCACCTTGTATTAATGTACCTGATGATGCACAAATAACTGCATGTAAATGGCTTCCAATTTGTTATAGTTCAATACAGACATGAGCTGCAAAGCGTGCACCACTTCTATTTCTGCACATATTTTGATACTAATAAGGTATACAGATATACCANGACCAATACAATTCCATACTCTCATAGTATACTGATTTAGCATACTTATATACTATATAGGTAACACATAGTTTTTTTACTTGAAAACATGCAGACGAACCTTATTGGGCATGATTTATGAACCCGATATTGACATTTTTCTCTAACAGCATACTGTTTCATAACGAGAGCCAGCAGGTTCTTGTCTTCGTAAATTTGTCCTTTTTCAACATTTTGATGAAATTGATCAGTTATGATGTTTGCATCATCAAGTTCTAAAATGGCGTCATCTCCTTCTTGCACATCAAACGTAGTAATCATATCAGTGCTTTCAAATTGTGCAATTTCTGGTGAAATTGGAGCAACATCGAAACTGGAGGTGCTTGCAGCTATAGTGTTTTTAGCAAACGACACACACAGGGGAAGTGTTGTCATCCCTGCACTTGATTTTTTCAATTCCATATAAACACTAACACTCATATCGCTGCAAATTGTAATTGGTGGATATCCTTGAGCAATAGCATACTGAATAACTATTGTTTTACTGTCCTTTTGCAGTTGCTTTGCAATTTCTCTGAGAAGTTGTTCAAATTTCCAATAGGTCTTTATTAGAATTGCATCAACATGAAAATTTATGAAATTATTGTTATCATCCAATTCTCCACTATGTTGCAGCAGAATTGAAATATTTTCCATGATTCTAAAGTTATAATCACTTTTATGTCCAAAATTGAATCTCAACAATGCAAATTTCAACAGTGTTCGAAATTTCAACAAAACAACAGCGAAATCAAACCTCTAGATCTCCAGATCTCCAAACCTAGATTAGAATTTTCAGCTAAAATTCAGAAGTTTAGCTCCGAAATCAAAATCAAACCAACAGCAAAATCAAAATCTGAAGAGAACAACGAAATTAAAATCCGAATCAGCATCTTCGATCTGTTTTTTCACACTTACTGCTCTTCGATCAGTGGAAATCTCAATTTTGTGCGCTAATTTTCTGAAATTTTGAAGAGCTTCTGCGTTTTTCCACGTTTGTGCGCTAATTTTCTGAAATTTTGAGCAGCTTCTGCGTTTTTATACGTAGGGCATTAAAAGCGTGGGTAGTTATTTTGTTATTGTCGTTTATTTATTAAATGGGTAGGAGTTGTAATTATTTAGTGGGTAGAATTCTTTAATGGGTAGGGGAGGGTAAATAGTTTCACTTTTATAGGTAGTNAAATTAAAACCCGAATCAGCATCTTCGATCTGTTTTTTCACACTTACTGCTCTTCGATCAGTGGAAATCTCAATTTTGTGCGCTAATTTTCTGAAATTTTGAAGAGCTTCTGCGTTTTTCCACGTTTGTGCGCTAATTTTCTGAAATTTTGAGCAACTTCTGCGTTTTTATACGTAAGGCATTAAAAGCGTGGGTAGTTATTTTGTTATTGTCGTTTATTTATTAAATGGGTAGGAGTTGTAATTATTTAGTGGGTAGAATTCTTTAATGGGTAGGGGAGGGTAAATANGTTTATTTATTAAATGGGTAGGAGTTGTAATTATTTAGTGGGTAGAATTCTTTAATGGGTAGGAGAGGATAAATAATTTCACTTTTATAGGTAGTTCTGTCTTTTCCCCTAAAAAAAAAAGGCCTCACACAATTAGTGTTTGTGTAAGACACAAAATAAAAAATTTCGACTCTATCAATGAGCGAGGGTTTGTCGGGGGGCCTCGGGCAACACAGATGATGGATTTACTACCAAATGACACATGAAAGCTAACCATTAATTGCTCTCTGTGCTCACATGAGGGAACAGTAATCCTTTTAATTCGTGTTGTTGTTTAGTTTATTTATGTATAGACCTAGTGAAAGTATGACACCTGTTCCACGATAAAAAAAAGTTATTTTCCTATAACGCTCTTTTCTTTTTTAATTTGTTTAAAAAAAAATATTCTTTTTATATGTAATAACTATTTAATTTTAATTTTGTACTGTAATAATTTGCATTTATAGTTATAGAAGTTTCTGTTATGACCGAAAAAATCAGGTGTCATGCGGAAGCTAGCAAAGCAGACTTGAACGACGATAAGTCCGACAACAAAAGAGAAATCTATCAAAAGAGACACAAACATTTAACGTGGTTCGGTCAACTAACATATGTTCACAACGGAGATGAGCAATCCACTATAATAAAAGAGAGTACAAATATTGAGAGAACAACCTCACGAAGAGGCAAACACAAGTGACACACTAACACTTGTCCCGTAAAGTTCTCCCCCTAAACACTACTCTCAAGCCCCATATGTAGGGGTGGGTATCGGTCGGTTCGGTCAGTTATTATAAAAATACGGTTCGGTTTTCGGTTTTGTAATAATAATAACCAAATCAAACCAAAGTATTTACGATTCGGTGCGGTTTTTTCAAAGTTCGATTCGATTATTTCCGGTTTATATTTTCGATTTCAAACGGTTGTAGACTCGTAGGATCAACGAAGTCTGTCCTTATATAATTATGTACAATGCAATGTCTAAAGACTCCTATAAAAAATGTGTATTCAATACACTGTATTGTGGCAATTCATTCCCCCTCACCAATTATAGCGTTTAGGCACAAACACTAGTAGTATGGAACACCAGTAAATTTTCAAATACCAAAAGTCCAAAATATTTGGCATACAACAGAAAGATATAGACGTGTATCTTTCATATATGTAATTGGTTTATAACTTTCAAGTCTACTGTGGACATGCATATTTACAACATGTTAGAGACGAGGGCATGCTCTATCCTAGCGCTACTTAACAAATTAATGTAATTCTTGTTTTGATGAAGATAGCCGGAAACAATATTTATATGATGGAAAAGCTGCTTCAACCATTATTAATGCACATAAATCGTACATATTCTTGGTCCAGAGTTCTGCAACGTTAACGCATCGAACCAAGCAAAAAGGATAAGTGAGAATTCAAACATGACTTTGGAAAAGTTCGGTTTTTCGGTTTAACCGACAACCGAAATAGAAAAACCGTAAAACGCACCGAAAAATCGAAAATCAATAATTTTAAAATCGTGCACCGATCGAAAAATCGATTAAACCGAATCTGAAAAATCGAAATTCACGGTTCGGCCGATTTTTTTCGGTTCGGTCGGTATTATGCCCACCCCTACCCATATGGCTACATTGTGGATGTTGCTGAATGAGAAGGAATGATCCTCAATTTATAGAAGTCCAAACTTTTTTCCTACAAGAAAAAGGACTAGCCAAGTATAGGAGAATTATAATTTCCTTCTACAAAAAGGAAAACCCAATTAAGGTAATTATATTGTCATTTCTTTCAATAAATAGGAAAACCAAATATGGTAAGAAAATTATGGCAAACACCTAACAATTCTCCTCCTTGGCCGAAATTTTCTGACAAAATAAACTTGATCCACCTTCTTCACATAGCCTTCAACAGGTCGCATCTCCAAATCTCCACCACAAAGTTTGTCTCAACGTGCGTAGCACACCGGTCAAATTTCTCAGAAAAAAATTACGATTATCGTCAAATATGTTGCGGCTAGAACTGAACCCGCCAAGATGAACCCGTCTTGAACCTCGCTACCACTTGTTAGGACCGAAAAAACTAGGTGTCATGCGGAAGCTAGTAAAGCAAAACTTCAACGACGATAAATCTGACAACAAAGGAGAAATCTACCAAACGAAACACAAACATTTAACGTGTTTCGGTCAACTGACCTACGTCCACGTGCGAAGATGAGCAATCCACTATAATAAAAGAGAGTACAAATATTGAGAGAACAACCTCACGAAGAGGCAAACACAAGTGACACACTAACACTTGTCCCGTAAAGTTCTCCCCCTAAACACTACTCTCAAGCCCCATATGGCTACATTGTGGATGCTGCTGAATGAGAAGGAAGGATCCTCAATTTATAGAAGTCCAAACTTTTTCCTACAAGAAAAAGTACTAGCCAAGTATAGGAGAATTATAATTTTCTTCTACAAAAAGGAAAACTCAATTAAGGTAATTATATTGCCATTTCCTTCAACAAATAGGAAAACCAAATATAGTAATAAAATTATGGCTAACACCTAACAGTTTCATGATGTTTAAGGTTACAAAATTTAAATATATTTTTTGTGTCAAACTCTTTTTTTTCTTAAATATTATATCAGTGAAATATTGTACAACGAAAATCCCAACAGAAAACATTTAACTGCGTTATACGATTCTTTCGTGAAGCACTTTTTTCACTCTTGCACCGACAAGCAAAGAGGTTTCAAGATATCATGACGACCGAAAAAAAAATCCGAGCAAATCTTGCGGAGAGCGTACCCTCCGATTTTTGAATTTTTATTTCTTTGTATAAAAATGAGTTAGATCAAAGGCTCGTCTATGTATTGTTCCATAGAGGATGGGCATTGAAGCATACAAAACATTAAGAAAGATTGAATATTGTTAAGTCGCAATGTGCTTTACCGACAAATGTGGTGGGATGATATGAGATACTTCCACCCTTTATGAGTGCACTTTATGCCATAATAGACCTACGAATTCGAATTAAACGCACTAGTACATTTCACATCGTATATATTATATTTAAGACTAAGGGAGTAGGTAAACAATTAAAATATGAATGTAAGAGATAGAAATTCTGAGTTAATGGGACTTTCCAAGAAAGGCCAGACAAGATATTGTTTGTTTCTCACTTAAATAGTACATAAAAGCCGTATAAAGACAGCAAAGGAGCTAGCAAACACTACTTACAAAGTTGTCCTCCCAATTTTTTACTGCACCCATATTTGATCCTACTTAAATACTCCTCTATTCTATGTGTAACAGGAGTACTTAAGAGAAAGCATGGAGGAGGAGAAGCTGAAGAGTTATTGTGTAACAGGAGGCAGTGGCTTCATTGGTTCATGGTTGGTTAGGTCTCTCCTTCAAATGGGTTGCAAGGTCCATGCTACTGTGCGCCATCCAGGTTCGTTTCTGATCTGCTCCTTCTTAGGATCACTATAACAATAGTAAATTTTAACAATAGTAAATTTTATTCATTATAATAGTAAAATTATTAAATTTTACTTGATTGTTGCGGCCAAACGCACACGCAAGTATACGCGATCGTCAAGTAATAAAGTGACTAAAAGTCGAATGTCGAACACACAAGGACTTGTGATTAACTATTAACTAAATTAGACTATCCTACTTATCTAGACAAGAATTAAACCTAGAAGTATTTGAATCTAAACTAATTAAAATAAAGAAAAACAAATAGTAAACTCGAACAAAAGGATAGCAAATTTTTATGTTATCAATGCGATGAAAACGATTTAGGGTTATGGGCTATCTAACAATCATATTGTATTCTTAAATTGAATTGACTAATTAATTTATCTGGTTTACTGGTTGACAGGGTTAATATTGCTCATAAGAATCTGTCGAGTTCTTACTCGCCTATTCAAGCTAACCTAACGCCTATATGTCTATGGAATTAGAACTAACAAGAATGCATTTATAATTCCTGTAAATCAACCAAGCAAGGCAATTAGGTATATGTCAATCCTAACCGCGAATCCATCTGAAATTCTCACTTTCGAGTTCATCTCTAGATTCGTAGATCGTATTCAATTGGTGATCAATCAATCAAATAACTAAGCAAAAGATTGAATAAATAAACCAATATGATAAACTAAGAAATCATAATCAATATTCGAATAACAATAGTCATGGAAGAACCACAACCCTAGAACGTGAAGTTTAGCTCCACATAGACATGGTAGCCAAACAGTAAATCATACAAAGAAACATAAAAATTACTAAGTTTGGTAGAAGAATGATGGAATCTGATGAATTCCGGCCCCTACACCGGCTCTGTTCTTGTGTTTTCCTCTCAAAAAACGTCCTCCTCTACACCGGCTCTTTGCTTTTGTTTTCCTCTCAAAAAACGTCATCTTCTACTCCAAAATAGGTTTAGGTTGACTTTTATATGAGTTGAGGGCATCTTGGGGTCAAAATAACTGAGTCCCAATTGAAATAGGACATGTTCACGTTTTGAGCGTCCAGGGCAGCATGGGGCACTAGCCCTGGCGCTCAAAAAGTTCAGCTGCTGTAAATTGCGCCACAGCCAGCGCCCCACGCTGGCCGTGGCCCTCAAATTTTACTTTTTGCTTTTCTGTCCCGATTTCGCTCCAATTCGCACCATTTCGTCCCAAATTGAATCCAAATGATTCCTACACATAGAAATACCACAATTTAGCACAAATCGTCATATTAAACATCTCAAGTAGTTGAGACATGAGCAAAATGTGAGGTGATATATATCAAAATATGCATACATTAAGCCGATTATCAACACCCCACACTTAGACTCTTGCTCGTCCTCGAGCAATGGAACTATATTAACACCCCCAAAATATACTTATCACTATGAAAGAGCAATTCACAATTAATTCAATCAAACACTCTACCTTTTGACTATGATCGATATCGGCAATTAAGCATGAACACGCAAATTTCACATTCTTACTATTTTTAAACTAGCCCAAGTATACTCAATGTTATTCAACCAACTCAAGCACCCTCTCCACAATCACCCTACCTTAAGAGGCAACTCGTTACCACTAAGCATCCCCAACTCACACACTCACCCAACAAAAGAAAGTGTACAACATTACCAGTCCGTCATGAGACAATGTGCCCTCACCACAAGCAAAAGAGTGAATGTCAACGTAGTCCACACATTCAAATATTTCATTGAACATAAATTAAGGACATCACACAATTGTACAACATTCACTCGCCCTCGTAAAGAATTTATGTGCATCATGTGGATGTACCATAAGTTTGTCCGTAGTGTCATCTCTACTAATCAAAGCGAGCCAAATCTAGGATCAATTAGGACTTTAAGGTTGTAATGTAGGCTAAGGGACCAGTAGGATACATTTAGGTATAGTGACTAACCCTCCTAAGCACTTTAATACACTACACTCACAAATCAAGCGCAATTTCTTTTCAACTTATTCACTTGTCATACACCATATATAACATAGCCCTCTTTGCAATCAAGCACCTCTATGGATTCACTAACATGAGTGAGAAGGATTAGGAGGTGTGTATCTTTCTACATTATTTGAACTTTTATTTGCTTTTCCTTGCAAAAAATTTCCTTTTTTTTTTACTTTCTTTTTCTTTTTCTTCACACACTCCATACATTGAAGTTCATAAACTAGTGCCCTTCTTTCCTAATTTTAGTTCACCATAAAAGCCCTTCCATGGTTCCACTCAAACACCGCTCCTCAATCTCTCACCTTACTTCTTTTAGCGACTAAGTGTCTTAGGAGGTAAAGGTTCAACAATCTTGAATTAAGAACAAAGTAGGAGTACGGCTTGTAATGTGGGCGCCAAGAAAATGGTCTATAGGCTCAAATGAGCTAGCAATGGAAAGATTTTATTTGTCAATGCCAAGCACCTTTATGGTCAAGCAAGAAACACCTATGTCATATCCTAGACTAGCATAACTTAATGATTTCGCGTTGATTAACACACGGGGCAAGTTCTAGACTATACAGGATAGCACAGAATATCAACAATCATTATACACACATGGCACTTGACTCACTCAAGACGGTTTTGTGCGACTCTTAAGTCAGGCAAGCATAGCAAGTTGAGAATTTTTAAGCAACAATGCACTCGGTGGCATACAAGTCAATCAACTGAGAAAAAGGCGTCAAAGAGTAGGCTACTTAATTTACTTGGGCATTACAATTTAAATCATATATGCAGGAAGACAGAGTGCACGCCATAACTTAACTTGCCAACACCAAACATGTCAATAGGTACCTCAGAGCAATCTCAGTTTTCTCCCTTATCCTACTCCTAAGAAAGAAGAAACACTAAACTAGAATACCCGATTTGAGCTACACCCTTGGAAAAGAACTGGTGTCGAAAGAAAAACTACGAGATACTACCTAACTACTTAAAAAAATAAAAGAAAATCGTTTTGGTATTTTTAATCGGACTTAAATCCCTCAAAAAAATTGTCCAACAGATCCATTGTCTGGAAAAGTCCAAATTTTTTCTAAATTTTTTTACCACAATATAAAAAAATAAATTAAGCTACTAAAATACTACACAACTACGAAAATAAAAATAAGAAGCTAAAATCAAAATAAGAAGTTAATATTTTCTAACATACTACTACTAATTATATAGAGAAATTCTCTCACCCCACACTTGAAAGAGTACAGTGTCCTCAGTGCACAAATAAAGCTAAATAATAACGAAGGTGGACAAGAAACTCCCTGAAGGGCCAAAGGCCGAAACAATAGCGGCTCATGGGGTACTCAGACTTCCCCCAGGCATGGTCCTTTGTGTGGGCAGCCCACACTTAGTTCTTACCATCAAGCTCGCTTTTGCACTCTTCCAATGGCTATGCTTCCTATGCTCATAATCCTACAAAATCAAAACAAACACTACAAAAATAATATAATAAAGATAAAAATAAAATAAGGCAGTAAAGTTGGGTTGTCTCCTAACAAGTGCCTAATTTAACGTCGCGGCACGACTTGAACCACTTTCTGCCTCCACCTCGAACTTATGAATTGTACCTCTAACATGGCATCCAGTCTGTGTCTATGCTCCTTTGGTGGGGACACAAAAATAAATAGGTCAAGTAATAAATTTTTCAGTCTATAATTCTTGGCCTTTATATGAGGAATATAATTTTTTCTCTCTGGCACAACAAATCCAAGAATGTAAGCAGCATGTTCCTCTTCCATTGGCTCCTCCAAAGGCGCAGATGACTCGATTTCCATGTCATCAACCAAACACATTGTCGAAAAATGTTTAGAATGAGGACCAACACGCCACAACATTGGAATTGTATTACTATTTATATCCTCATATTTACATGCACTAGAGTTTTCAAATATAACATTATCTACTCCCTCATATGACTCTAAAATGCTCTTCCAAACATTGACATCCTTAAGAAAAATATGGTCTAATAATTGATATTCTCGTTTTAGCTCCTCAATTTGGTCTAGAAATTTTTTTTAGCTTCACACAACTCATCATTAAATTGTTGGGTGTTATACGCATCAACCTTTGCACTCAAATCTGCATCTAAATTACGCACAGCCAAGACAAACCTGTCAATTTCTTGTGCAAGTTCAACTCTCTCCTTAGACCAGTCACTCACCAATTTTGTTAGAAGATAATGTCGTTCCTCGTATTCACTTAATCGTGAATATTCTCCCAATACCAACCCTTACTCCTATATTCAAATTCAGACCTCCCAGAGTTCAGGTCATGACAAGCCCAAAAAGACGAACCATAAAAGCTAAGTCTTCCGTCAACCAAGCAACTTCATCAATAACCTTACCTCCGGATATTTCATCCCCAGATGTCATGTTGAGAGAACTAGAACACACTAAGAGAAAGATCAAAATTGTTATAAAAAAAATATTTACAAAAAGAGAAGAAAAAAAATCAAAATTTGTAAAGATAAAAGTAAAAGTCTAATATAGAAAAATAGTTAATTTCTAAGTCACCGGCAACGACGCCAAAAACTTGTTGCGGCCAAACGCACACGCAAGTATACGCGGTCGTCAAGTAATAAAGTGACTAAAAGTCGGATGTCGAACACACGAGGACTTGTGATTAACTATTAACTAAATTAGACTATCCTACTTATCTAGACAAGAATTAAACCTAGAAGTATTTGAATCTAAACTAATTAAAATAAAGAAAAACAAATAGTGAACAAAAGGATAACAGATTTTTATGTTATCAATGTGATGAAAACGATCTAGGGTTATGGGCTATCTAACAATCATATTGTATTCTTAAACTGAATTGACTAATTAATTTATCTGGTTTACTGGTTGACAGGGTTAATACTGCTCATAAGAATCTGTTGAGTTCTTACTCGCCTATTCAAGCTAACCTAACGCTTATATGTCTGTGGAATTAGAACTAATAAGAACGCATTTATCATGTAAATCAACCAAGCAAGGCAATTAGGTATATGTTTATCCTAACCGCGAATCCATTCCCCGATTCCCAGGTTCAAGAACTTGCTATACTCAATCCTATAAGCAATATGGAATTCCCACTTTCGAGTTCAACTCTAGATTCGTAGATAGTATTTAATTGGTGATCAAGCAATCAAATAATTAAGCACAAGATTATTGAGACTTTATTGTCATTGATATAACGAAAATCAACTATGCATCAATATTGAGACTTTACTGTCATTGTAAAATTCAGTTACTTTAATATGACTAGAGGTGGATAATGGATTTAAACCCGATGGGTTCAGCCTTTAGAACTTTTAGCCGTTAAATCATTGTACTTGATACTTGTTAAAATTTTATTAGTTATATATGTGTGTGTGTGTGAGAGAGAGTGAGAGACAAAAAAAAACATTGATTTATAGTGGATAAGTTCACATACACTAATATGACCAAAAAAAAAAAAATCTAACTTTATTGTTACATCAAATTATATTATTTAAGGTAATCATACCTGAAATTAACCCTTTGATTTAACAAAGCCAGAAAGCCAAACTTTTGGGTTGGAAAGGCAAAAATGTGTAGTACCTACCTCTAAGGCTTAAAAAGCCGTGATCCACCTATAGTGAGATTTGATTCAAATTAAATTAACAAAGAAAATATGGAAAGAGTATTAAATATGATTATGAAGGTCTGATCGTAACAGCTCGTAGTTTTTTCTCAAACTGTGTGACACTTTATTTTAGCATTCTTAGTACACTCGTGAAACGGAATTTACTGCTTCACAGAAATGAGAATATGGTGTACGACATATTCGTGAGACCTGTAAATTCTATAGTACGTGTAGCGTGCGAAGATAGCTCTAAACATGTGTTAGAGCTATCTGGGTGGATGCAGATTACACTTAATGGTTCAACTAAATTCAATATTCTCGACACAAAATATAAATATATGAAAAATCGTTAAAAATATTTTACTAACAAATATTGAATTCTGAACTCATAATTTAAAAAGTACAATGTATTTTGTCTCTTAAATTCTCAAAACTGATATATCCTGTAGATTTCTTCAATTCCAAGTTGCCATTCAAATTTCATGATTCATTTATTTGAATGAGCAATAACCCCATTTAGATAACATGGGTTAGAGAGAATTGTATTATGAACTGCTCGCCTTTGTTTGATATGAGTTCATTCGGAACCAGTATCGCAAATTAATCCTCGGTCTTGACCTTTTCAGAGAAGTCATTACATCTGATGAAGCTGCCCGGGGCCAATGACCGGCTGAGATTGTTCAAAGCTGATTTAAGAGAAGAAGGGAGCTTCGACGAAGCAGTGAGAGGTTGCAGTGGTCTATTCCATGTTGCTGCACCCATGGAATTCGGAGTACAAGCCACAGAAAATGTTGGTAAATACATGCTTGTCTAAATCATTTGTTTTGGTAAGTCCCAAAGTAGTTCAAAATCAATTGAAGCCTACACAAGTATTCAATTTCTTGGCTTGTTTCAATTTGAAGACAGCTATGTTCAAGAAAATGTCGTAGAGCCAGCAATCCAGGGTACCTTGAATGTTCTGAAATCCTGCTTGAAATCCAACTCTATAAAAAGAGTTGTTTTCACATCATCAATCAGTACAGTGACTGCCAGAGACAGCTATGGAAACTGGAGACCTCTTGTGGATGAATCTTGCAAAATACCTGTCCAACATGTTAAGCACACAAAACCTAGCGGCTGGGTAATTCTTTTTCCCTATACTCAGACTACTAAGAAAATACAGAATGACTTCTGGCATATACCAAAAGTATAGATTCTTAGAATCTGTGCTCTTAAAGATGGCATAATGTTTTTATGACAATTCGAGCATGTCATTAAGGGTAAAATGGAAAGTTTAAAAGAAACAGACTATAAAGTTATTGTCACATGAAATAATTAATACTTTTACATACTTTATCATGATAGTAAGTGCACTTCTATAGTAGCTCGTAATGGGAAAATGTCTTTGGTAGGTTTATGTACTAGTAAAGGTTTTAACGGAGGAGGCAGCATTCCAATTTGCAAAGGAAAATGGCATTGATTTGGTTTCAATAATAACACCAACTGTAGCTGGTCCGTTCCTCACTCCTACAGTTCCTTCAAGCATTCAAGTTCTCTTGTCACCAATAACAGGTTTGCTTTCTCTCCTTTCTTCCTGTTTTAATTTAAAACGAATTTTGTCACATCTTTGGTTCAGGTTACATTTGTCCAACATAAACTTTACAATTGCTTTATACATTTTCACATTAAACCAAATAGATGCAGATAAAAACACCCCTTCAACATTAATGTATATATTTTTGTCACTTAGCTTTCAGTCCTTTTACTTTTATAGGTGATCCTGAATTGTTAGCTATACTAAGTGGTGTGAACTCAAGAATGGGATCAATTGCATTAGCTCATATCGAGGACATATGTTGCGCTCACATATTTCTGATGGAGAACACAAAAGCAGAAGGACGATATATATGCTGTGCCCGGAGTTGGGCTATGTCTCAAGTTATCGATCACCTTACAAAAGAGTATCCTAGTCCTGCTTTAGACAGGTTATCTATCCATTTCTTCCGAAAATTAAAGTTACAGTTAATGTGAATGATTTTGCATTAAAGTAACTGTCTAATTCTCAATGTTTCAGGCAAGCAAGAGGAGGACATGATTTGGTGATGCCTTCCGAGATATCTTCAAAGAAATTGAGAGATCTGGGATTTTCTTTCAAGTATAATATCGACGATATCATAAGAGATACAATTAGTAGCTGTATGGATAATGGCTTCTTACCTTCTATTCAAAAGTAAGTATTTTTTCATTGTAGAGCAGAGAATTTAACCCTGAAGTAATCTAGATGTTTTTGCGTGATTGCTTGTAGACAACAGTAAAAGCGCGACTCCTTCAAATTTAAAACTTCACTTATCAACACTACTATATAGCAACAGATATTGTATTCTTAAGAACTTAAAAATTGTTGTCTAGTTGTTGAAAATGCCAGATTGGCAAATGAATAACTTTATGCACTAGTTTATTGTAATCTTAAGTAGTTTGTTTGCACAAAATCCCTTCCTGTGGCCATGTTGTATAGGATTATCGCTGTGGCTACTTATAAGCCCTGGTTCAAATTTTGGTGTTAATAGACACTATCATTATTTGGGAAATCATTCTGTATTTACTTCGGCAACGATCTCTCAAACATTTTATATTATATTTTTAAGTACAAAAACTTGTGATTTATGATAAACCTTTTTTTTTTTAGATTTAATACTCATGTAAATTTTTTGTCATAACCATTTGCAGGGGAACAAGTTCGCCTCCAGTACACCGTCCGTCCAGTTCATGCGGTGCACCTTTAATTTCGTGACACCTGCCGACTTTTAAATCTAATGGTTGATATTCATTTAACTAAAACAACCCCTTAAACCACTGATGCCTTAGGAATTTGAATAGTTATTTTTTGTGACACATTCTCTCAATTCTTGACTCGTATGTTCATCTAGTACTTGTTGCTTAATACTTCGTTATGTGACTATTACTTGCTTAGACTTGAGAGTTAGAATGACATCGTTCTAATTGAGTCATGTGCAACATGTGTTTGAGAGGTTTAAAGTTGTATTATGTGTTATTCTGCGCTAGTCTAGAACTTTTTTCGTGTGTGGGACGAAGCGAAATAAGTAAGTCTTCTTGAGCATAGGAGATGATGTAGGTATTTCTTTTATTAGCCCATTGAGCTTTAATTGCCTACCATTGTTAATATTTTCTATAGTAGCCTTTTTGAGCATGTAAACATTTTCTTTTGACAATCGCATTACAAACCTATTCTCTTTGTTCTTAATTGATTTTGTGAAACTTTTATCTTTGAAAGCACTTAAATTATAAGACTAAGCGCTAGAAAAATAAGGAGGAGACTGGGTAGCTCTAAGTTGAAACCATAAAAAGGAAGAAAGTTGCACATGTGCAAGCAAAGAACCATCAGTGAAAATTACAATCATATGGAGAGTGTTAGAGAAAAAAAAGGAAAAAGAAAAGGCGGAGACACAACAAAGCAAAATTTAAATTTAAAAAAAAACAAAGAGAGGAAAAAAAAAAGACAACACATTTTCCAATCATATTTTATTCTTGATGCTGAGTTACGGATATGTGAAGTTCTTAAAGAAAAAGGACAACCCTTGATACGTGTTGTAGTATGACGTTTAAAGTGGGTTATGATAAGTATGTGCGCAAATTAATTGTTATATTCTTAAAGTGATTAGGAGGGTTAGTCATTTTTACCCAATGTTATCCTACATATCCTTTAGGTTACATTACAACCCATAAAATTCTATTTGATCCTAGATTTGAGCGAGCTTAAATTAATCAAGTCCTACATTATAGGCAAATCTATGTTACGACCTCTGAAGGCACATGAATTCTTTGAGAAAGCGAGTGAATGGCACATGATCTCATGACAAATAAGTGACGTTATCAAATTTCTCTTGTTAGGGTGAGTGTACAAAGCAAAAGTGCTTAGTGACAATGAGTTGGTCTTTAAGGTAAGGTGGTGGTTAAAGGCAGGTTGTTTGAATGCTTTGAAATTGTTTAACTACACTTTGGCATGTTAAAGTTGGAAAGTGTGTGTGAAATGCGTATGCAATGAATTTATTATTGGTATCAACTATAGTCATAGGGCAATGGATGAAGTTTTAAGTTATTTGAGGACATGCAAGAAGTTAAGTGTGTGGTGTTAATGTTCGGCTAAAAGTATATGTTTTTTTTGTACGCAAATCGCCTCATATTTTATTCTACTTAGGTTTTATGTGTATTGCAATGAGTTGATCTTATTTAGGGTGTTTCAAATGTGTAGGAATCAACCGGGAGTGAAGCAAAGTATACGTGTGCAAGTTTAAGCAAAAAAGAAAAAAGAAAAATGGACAAAGTAGAATTTTAGCATCCAGACAAACGCTTGGCGCCACCTGTGGCACTGGAGACAGAACTTTCAAGAGGCTAGTGCCCAGGCTAGCGCGGTGCGGCTCCGGGGCACCGACTTCTAGAAATTATCCCATTTCAGTTTGGAGAAGATCTTTTTGGTTCTATACGCTCCTAACTTGTATAAAAGAATTTCTAAACCTAATTAAGAATGTAGACCACACTTGGAGAAAGTCTTCAACTAGTTTTTTTTTCTCCTCTTTCTTTTAGTTTTATAGTTTATAGTTCTAGGGTGGGTACTACATGAATGTTGTAGATAAAACTTAAATTATTCTTATTATTTTATTACATTGGTTTGTTTATTCAATCATGTGCTTAAGTATTTGATTTTTTTATCACCAATTAAATACTATCTACGAATCTAAGATTGAAAGTGAGAATTCTAGATTGCATATAAGAATGAGTAGAGCAAGTTCTTGAACATGGACACCGGAGTGAATTCGTGGTTAGAATAGAAATATACCTAATTGCCTTACTTGATTACTATACATGAATTATTAATGTTTTGTTAATAACTCTAACTCCATAGAAATATAGGATTAGTTAGTTTAGCTTGAATAGACGAGTAGTATTTCGGAAGAATATTACAAGTAATGTTAACCTTGTCAATCAATATATCCGATAAGTTAATTAGTTAAATTAACTGAAACTCAATGGGATTGTTAGCTGACCCATAACCCTAGAATATTTTCTTTCATTGAATTCGTCTTTAAGCTTACCGAAATATTATTTTTGACTTGTTAGTTTACTACTCTAGATTTGTTTTAGTTAAATAACCACATTTTAAAAAAAATCACTTGAATAGAATAATTGTTTTAGTTTAATTTAGTTGATAGTTGATCACAAATCCTCATAGGAATGATGTTATGCTCACTCTTTATTACTTGCCGATTATGTATACTTGCATGAGTATTTTAGGGCAACAATCACAAACATCAAATCAAGAAAAATACTATGAAAATGATTATTTAAGTTACAATATTCTGTACTCCCTCCGTTTATTTTAGTTGTCCACTTGTGACTTTGCACTCCCTTTAAGAAAAAATTAATAAAAGTATATATTTTACAATTTTATCCATAATAATGATGGTATTTCAAAAAGTCTTGAAAAATAATTTAGGGAATGAGTTGTTAATAATAAGGGTAAAATAAGAAAAAGAGATCATATTTTTCTTAATCTGCTAAAATAGATAAATCAAAGTGAAAATGTACTTTTAGGGGTCATTTGGTACAAGGACTAAATTATTCCGGGATTATAGTCCTGGGATTATAATCCCTAGACTAATTTATTATCACAACCCAAAATCTGAATCACAGGGTCGTGATGGCATCTAACATCCACTTGCTGGGCAAGCCAACGTTAGCTAAAGAATAACCTATTTTAATAATTCAAAAGAAGAATAATCATAATTAACGATTGATAAACTCAAAAATACATGAAATAAATACATAAGTATCGCAGTCTATACTAATCCCAAAAATCTGCAGTCACAAGTGCATGAGCGACTAGAATACTACAAATATAGTTTGAAAAGAAATAGAATTATCTGAAACTAGATAAACAGTAAAACATGGTAGAAGGAGACTTCAAGGATTGTGAATGTCGTGCAGCTCTACCTCAAGTATCCTGAATGAGTCGAATCCGAGCAATCTCCTCTATGCGCCACTAGGACCAACACCGGAATCTGCACAAGAAGTGCAAAAATATAGTATGAGTACAATCGATCACATGTACTCTGTAAGTGTCGAGCCTAACCTCGACAAAATAGTGACGAGGCTATGACAAAATACTCACTAAAAACCTATACAAGTAATAAATATAAGGCAACAGGAATATAGAGAAAACTAATAAACTCATAAGAACGGGACTCGAAGGTCAACTAACAGAGGGCCCAGAATAATGTCTCAAAATCTTCATGCCACAGTACAGAAATAGAACACCACAACTACAAACTTTACAACACATCCTATTCCATTGCGGCGCATAACCTGATCCCAGTATTACCATAATATCTTTTGCGAAGTGCAACCCGTTCCCATTATAAATTTATTTCCATGGTGTTGCGGCACGCAACCCATTTCCAATGTCAATTCATTATCATAAACAACTCAATATAACCAATTACGAAATCCCAACAGGAAATGGTACTAACACGTACAAAACACCAAGGAGCTACGAGTGCAACAGAGAACAACCAATATCTCATATTCACAAAACTCGATAAGTCATTAACGCAAGAATAGGCAAGGGACTCACACAATTGGGTATAATATGATAAAGTGCAAAAATTAAAATAAAGGTAATAAAGGCATGAAACAATGAAAATATCCTATTCATACAGGTAGAAGCATATAGCGGGTAAGCAAATATTGATCATGGAATGAATAACAGGAACAAGTAAGAGTTAAATGATAAATAACAAGTAAGGCATAAATAACGGGTAATGACATGTAGAAATCAAGGCAAATAATGAGATATAACATGGTATAAATAATGACATAAAGGTAAATAGCTCAACTCGTATATTTTAACCCATGACAACGCATATATACTCGTCATATACGTCGTCCCCACAAAAAGTTCATGTAGAAAATAGATCAACAAGTCCTAATTCCCTCTAATTCAAGTTAAACACGATATTTACTTCTTTTCGCAACCAAATCAATAATCAACAACGGTTTTTCCTTTAGAAAGAGCCGCCAAACCAACCAAATCTAGTCAAACATCATTCAAACAATCTAAATTAAGCTTTAGATACTACCCACGAATGAAAAAGGTTCAATCTTTGATGAAATTAAAAAGGTCAACAAAGTCAATCACGGTCTCGCTTTGTGAAAATCTGAGATCCAGACCAAATCGCGATTGTTCATTCAATCCCAAGCCCGGATATGTGATTTGTTTCGAAATCCGACTTAATTTGAGGTCTAAATCTCAATTTTATAAAATTCTTAAATTCTAACTAAAATCCCGAATTTCTATCTTGAAATTCATAGATTTGATGTTACAAATTCATGAAATTAACTAAAATTGATTGAAAACTAGTTAAAGATGTTTACCAATGAATTTGGGAAGAAAAAGTCCTTCAAAAATCGCCTTTAGAGAGCTTAGGATTGAAACGAGTACAAAATAAGCTAAGCCTCGATTTTTCCATCTTTTACCTAGCTGCAGATGTCGCAATTGCGAACTATTTTCATAATTACGATGTCCGCAAATGTGAAATACTGATCGCAAATACGATCAGTGTATCAGACAAACATAAGTTGCAAATGCGACAAAACCTTCGCATTTGCTGAAGGACACGTCCTCGCAAATGCGAAGCTGCTCTACCTAGAACAATATCACAAATACGACTCGAGGACCGCAAAAGAGATCCCAAATAAGATCGCAAAAACGAATAATTGTTCGCAAATGCGTACCCAACCCCCAATTTCCCACTTTGCATTTGCGAGCCTGACATTGCAAATGCTAGGCTCACAATTGCGATCAGGTTTTCGCAAATGCGATACCAGCAACTAGACACCAGAAATGGCTAGGCACCAGCAAATTCTAAATCAGTTCGTAAAGCATCCAAAACTAACCCGAGCCCCTCGGGCTCTAAACCGAGAATGCAC